AGAAACCTCACATAGTCTTGTTAAATGAACAAGAAATAAACTACTGAACTTTTGGAGATTTGTTATCATAGTTATCTAATTGATGTAAGCACTAAATTCCCTTAGTCTTGTATAGGACGGAGAATTAGTTCATTAGAGAGAAACACATATACTCTGATTTATGGATGATGGAGCTCATTGGAAACCTTGACATATCCTGTCCTAAAGCTATGAAGAAAGAGGAATCAATAAACCCTTTCCATGATGTTAAATTCTGTAAAACAACTAGAGTCTTCCATCTTTCTTCTCATCTTAGTCAAAGTGAGATATTATACTTCAGATAGTCAAACATCAAAGAGTTGCTTCTTGATAATTGCCAGCCTGATCCCAGAGAAAAATACAAGTTTCTGGCATTTGTTTGGTCATATTGATAGAAGGGGAAAAGTGTAATTTGTATGTAGTGGGAGAAAAGATTATTAGGACTCTGGGGAAATAGCAGAAAATTCCATTCATTTTTATACTCACTCTATGAAACTAAAAACAAACCATGGGATTTGACTGCCAATAGCCACGTCATGTTTTCTGTTTATGGCTAGCATTATAAAACACAGTGGACCAAATGACACATGCAATAGATACCTCTGCTGGTCAAAGAAATTTCCCACTATACAATGTTCTCTTTTTTTGTTAGTAATCCATGTTCGTTGTAGTTGATTATGGTTAGTATACTCTTTAAGGACTGAGCTAAAATAAAAACAATGGATAAACACTGTCATGCAGTCTTAAAGACACAGAACCCTATATTCTTATAAAGTTATAGAAATAGTGCCATTATAAAAACTCATTGAAAATGACAATAACCAAACTGGGCATGGGGAAATTGATCACTGTGTGGCAAAACAGTTCAACTTGTGTGATGAAAAGATGAAGAAAAAGGCAGTTACAGTCAGGATTGTTATGTCGCTATACGGAACATAGTACATACTTTGGGCAAAACTAATAAGAACCTCCCTCTTAGGGCAGAGGTGAATATTTCTAGATTCATTTGTGTTCTAAACACCTCAAAACATCCTACTCCCTCTCTGAGATGAACTTTTCCATGTGTTTGGTTTACAAGAAAGCTTCATCACGCAATGACTGCTTCACTCAACTCTTTGTGTAAAGAAGATTAAATATTAAATCCTTGTTCTTTGAACATTTCCAAAGCAACACAGTACTGATTTTAATAGACTCCTAAAATTTTATTTTGATTTCTTCTTTTAAAGTTTGGGGATACCTAGAAATAACAAGTTTCACCAGGGCCAGGACTATATGAAGGGATGAGGTGCTAAAGGTATAAAATGTAAGGACTCATTTACTTTCACCCTGTACCTGTCCAACACTTAGAGCTCTTCCTTAAATTTTGTGCCCTTGGCACTTGGCTCATTTCCCTAGTTCTGTCCCTGAGTTCCACACATACACCAGTGTGAAAAGTATACATTGAAGGTACACAGAGTAACCTGTGACTGCTCTTAGTTTCTGAATTTGGGTGTCTGTAGCAACTTCTTAATGAGAAATGCAAGGAAATCCGCTCCAATGTCAAGGTGAATTCCTGCTGAGCAAATGACACCAGGGAAGAAAAGCTCCTCTTTTGGTCTTTGCTTGAATAATAATAATAATAAAAAAGATCTATAATTGGATTTCCTTAAAGACTCAGAGAACTAACATCTTTATAACTTTTCAGATTGAAAGGTAGTCCTTTTGAATTCTATTAACTTTGCAGTCTACATTTTTTAGAAAGTAAGATTATGTAGCTTCTGAAGGAACTCGGGGACAATGAAGTGAGCAATATTTGCATTCACAAGTTATTCTGTGTTGGCAGATTGTCATCTTTTGTAGAAATATCACAATTTTTCAAAAGGATCACTTTGAAGATAAAGAATTATATTTAATCATATTTTTTGTTAATAAAAAAAGTCATTTTGAATGCTCACTTTGACAATCAAAGATCCCATTGCCCTTTCATATAGTACAGCCCACTTTAGGTAACCACATTGCAACTGAGGGCACCATCCCCCTCTTATCTTTAACTCTGGGAAAACAATAGCCCATTTTCACACCCCTGGCACTTAAAGTTTCTAAAGCATTCCTTTTAGCAGAAGAATAAGAATTTGATTCTCTAGGAAATTTTCATAGCCAAACATCTAAAGAAATGGGAGCTAATAGCTGCAGTATAAAAGAATAGTTAGAAAATTTGGGGGATAGACCAGAACACTTCTCTTTTATAGTGCTACTTTAGTTTAAAATTCTAAGCCTCAATGACCTGTTACATGTGAGGAAGAGTTAGCTATATTTTGGTCATGGATTAGAAGACAAGGTCTCTGAAAACAATGCTTTCCCTTAATAATTACAGAAGTTTTAAAAAACCAAGAATAGTAGTTTGAGGCTTCAAATTTAGAAAATTATAGATTTTAACATCATGAAAAATGGTGGCAATTTTTGTGTGTATCTAGACATAACGATGTCATAGTCAAGGCTGAGAATTTGTCATAAATGTAACCACTATGTTCAATGCCTGGCTTCTAGGTTATAATAAAGTGCAACCTATATTTGTTTCTTATTGCTTCTTTAAGATTTAGGCTTTGGAGAGACTCTTCCCCTGGATGGAAGATCCCCCAGTTTTCACACTCTAAGGTAAGAGATTGGTATATAAGTTGAGGACCACTTTAAGAGTTTGGATAATTATTCAATGTTGGTTTGAGATAATTATTTCATCATGTTATGCTGAAATCAAAGCATATTAAAAATGAGACTTTGTTATGCTAATAAAAATAAATAATAAAATTTTATAAGTTAGACCTCCCATGTTCATGGATAGGCAGAATTAATATTGCTAACGTGGTCATATTACCAAAAGCAATTTACAGGTTCCATGTAATCCCCATCAAAATGCCAATCACATTCTTCACAGAACAAGAAAAATCATAAAATTCACACAGAAGAATAAAATATCCAGAATAACCAAAGCAGTCCTGAGCTAAAAGAACAATGCTGGAGGCATCACAATAACCAACTTAAAATTATGCTACAGAGCATGGCACTGGCATAAAAACAGGCACATAGAAAAATGGAACAGAATAGAAGATATAGAGACAAACCCATACAGATATAATCATTTGATACTTGACAAAGATGACAAAAATGTATGCAGGAGGAAAGATAGCCTTTTAAATAAATGGTCTTGGAAAAACTGGTATCCATATGTATAAGAATGGAACTAAATCCCTATCTCTTACCATGCATAAAAATCAACTCAAAGTGAATCAAAGCCCTATTATTTGAACCAGAAATACTGCAACTGTTAGGAAAAAAAGCATAGGGTCAACACTTCAACACATAGGTGCAGGTGATGACTTCTTCAAAAGGATTCATGAAGCTCAGGAAATAATACAATTAAGATTGCATCAAATTTTAAAGCTTCGGATCAGCATTTAGAGCATGAGGGAACAGCCTACAGAATGAGAGAAAATCTTTGCCAGCTACTCTTCTGAGGACTAATAACCAGAAAACAGAAAAAGAACTAAAAAAAAAAACAAAAAGAAAAAAAAAAACACCAAAAACAAACCAAATCAATACCTGGGCCAATGAATTAAACATACACTTCTCAAAAGAAGAAATGCAAATGGTCATTGAATATATGAAAAAATATTCAGCATCCTTAGCAATCAGGGAAATGCAAACCAGAACTGCACTGAGATTTCATCTTAGTTCAGTTAGAGTGAGATTACCAAGAATACAAATAACAATAAATGCTGGTGAGAAAGTGGCGAAAAAGAACACTATATAATATTGGTAGGATTGTAATTATAATTACTATGGAAATCAGTATGGTGGTTTCTCAAAAGACCAGGAATATGACCCAGGTATAACACTCCTTAATATTTATCATAGAGAATTAAAGTCAGCATACTGCAGTGATACATGGATATGGATGTTTATAGCAACACAGTTCACAATAGCCAAATTATGGAACCAGCTTAGGTGTCTGTCAATGGATAAAGAAAATGTGGTATATATACATGATGGAGTTTTACTTAGCCTTAAAGAAGAATGAAATTATGCCATTTGCAGGGAAATGATGGAACTGGAGAGCATTATATTAAGCAAAATAAGCGAAGCTTAGCAAGGTAAGGGCCATATTCTTTCTTTCATATGTGGAAGCTAGAGAGAAAAAGGGAAAAAAGGGGTATCTCATAAAAACAGAGGGAGACCAGTAGAGTAGAGGAAGGAGACCAGGAGGAGAGAGGAAAGAAGGGAAAGAGGAGGTGCTAGAAATTAAATTGACCAAATCATATTGTTCTATTGTGGCCATGTGTTAATCTGCAATGACCAATCTTATTTTTAAGTATAATAAAAATGCAACAAAATATTACAAATGATTGCTCAAATGTTGAACTATTATTTTAAAAGTCTCGGAAAAGAGGTAAGAGTTCTTTCCAAGCTTTTGCCCCCATGCTAAGACCTTTACTTGACTTCATTCCTACTTGCTAGATGCTTTTCATCTTTACCAGGGTCAACATCAAGGGAGGGAGAAGATGTGAGAGGACTGGGTTCTTTCTTGGTTCCTCAGAGTATCATCTGTGGGGACTTATACCTTAAGGTTCCCTTGCATGGGTGGAGAGATTTATGATCTCTTCCTGGGCTCCCGGGCAGGGGTGGATCATATTTATGCTCCTGTTAAAGTCTAGGGCTCAAGAGTACCTCTCTCCCTCATGGCCTCTTGGTTCAGGAGAAACACTAAGTCTCTAGGTTCACGTTGACTTTGGGAGCTGCTTACCTTACCATCATGGTTCTCAGGAGTGCCACACATAACTCTCAGTGGCTCCATTGTAGAGAGAACCCTCACTGCACTTGAGGTGAAGAGGCCCTACCTCTAGTGCAGGGGAATTCCCCCCAAATAAATCTCATTATATAGTCCATTCTCCTTTTTTCCAACCCCAACCCTTCTATATCCTGTGTACAGAGACCTCTTTCACACTCACCTTAGGACCTGTTGTATTAGTGCCACAGTCCAAACTGAGGATAGAGGAGTCCCACGTTGACACTGGAATCATTGAGATTTTCTATTAGGCAAATATAGTTTGATAAAATGTCTAAATGATTTAACATCTTTTTCTGCTTTAATATGGTCTATTTGGTAAAAACTGCTCACTGAAGACTGCTCTGTTCTAACTAGATATGCTATGGTACACTCGGCTAGATGATCTGGAGTGTGTCAGTTCCCATTAATGCCCTTTTACTCAAACATCTTCCCACCTAGCTTCTAAGTGTGCAGAGACCTGCTCCCCACTGAACTAAGCCTAGTCAGGGTCCAGATTTCCCTGTCTGTTGTATTCTGGCTTTTTTAAGGAAGTTGTTCCTAAGTCCTTATGAAATAGAGGGACTTTATAAATGTCTTTTTCTTTTAAAGAGCAATAAATGTTTCTCTCTGTTTTACACTATATTAAATGTATTACTCACATAAAAATAATCTTATAGTTGAGTGTGGTGGTGTGCACCCATATTCTTTCTACTTGGGAGGCTTAGGTGGGAGGACCACTTGAGCCCAGGAGTTCTAGGCCAGGCTGGGTGACACAATCAGAGCCTGCCTTAAAAAAAAAAAAAAAAAAAAATTCATGGGCCTGAGGTTGCAGCTCCATAGGTGGTGGAGCACTTGCCTAGCATGTATGAGGTTCTGGGTTCGATCCTTAGTACCACATAAAATAAATGAAATAAAGGTATTATGTAAACCACTATATATATTCACCCCTCTATACAGAAGTGAATTTAGCCTCTTCTGAAAGGAGATCCTGTCAGGAACATAAATACCATGGCTATGTCACCAAAAGTTGTTATACACATGTTTAAAAAAGTAAAGTCTAGCCAGGTGAGGTGGTGCACACCTGTAATCCCAGTGATTCAGGAGGCTGAGGCAGGAGGATCGTGAGTTCAAAGCCAGCCTCAGCAATAGGGAGGCACTAAGCAACTCAATGAGACCCTGTCTCTAAATAAAATACAAAATAGGGCTGGGGATGTGGCTCACTGGTTGTGTGACCCTGAGTTCAATCCCTGGTACCCCATCCCCCCGAAAAGTAAAATCTATTCTCCCCTGGGAGTTGCAGACTGCTCCCACTTAGGGCAGATTTGAGACCTCCTAAAGTCTGTGGACCAAGGACCATGAGCAGGAACTCTGGTATGTGGCACAGAAGAATTATAATCTAGGAATCCCTGGAGGACTACATTGGTAGCCAGCACTAAAGAACCTTCCTCCTTTTCTTTCTCATAGCTTTGGGGAGGTATGTTGAAGGTAGACTCAGTGAGCTGGGGCTGAGAGAAGCTGGCTGTTTCAGGAATGTTCTTGGATAAACTTTTAGCAGGCAGTAGGGGTTTCTGACTAAATTGTTTCCCTCAGCACATCCAAATGGGAAGTTGATAGGTATTATAAAAACACAAATAGAGAGGGGAGCCTAAGCATAGAATAAAATTTTAAACAAAATTGGGATTCACTACATTAAGTATCTAGACCACATGTATTCTGAGCATAAAAGCTTTAATGAAGGCAAAAATCTTACTTAAGCAAAATATTTGTTTTGAAAGAAAAGGATGAACAACACAAATGGAGTAGGATTTTTTTTTTTTTTTTTAGCTGTAGCAAGTCAATTCAATGTATTGTACAAAATATCATCTCATGTTGGCAATGATGACAAAAATTTAAGTGGGATCTGGGCCCTGCCTTCCAGAAGCTTATAATAAAGAAAACATTAACTGGTATTTGACAGTAAACAATTTATTGTTTTAAATAAAAATTAGTTCTTTGATCAGCAATGAAACTACTAAGTTTCTATCATATGGTGATCATGATAGAGGAAGATACTTCTATTGTTATTAATTTCTTCTGCCCAAAGAACACGGGAGATGTTAATAGCATAACAACACCTAAAACCAAAAACCATTCAGCCTCTTCTTTTATTCATGAGAGAGCACTGAAAATTTACCTGAGAATATGCATGTCCCTCTTGCCAGGCACTTTTTTTTTCCATTATTATTTTCTAATTCTAACAGGATGCATCCTGTCTCTCTGATTTAAGCAAAAAGTTATTTCTTAAATCTCATCCTCAGGGCTTATTCTTTCATTTACTCTGTGAACCTAGTTTTGTGGCCTATGGTGCAACTCCATTATCCATTCTGTAACTTAGCATATCGTTTTCCTCTCAAGCTTATCAATCTTACAGGTTTTGATGTAGAGCAAATTCATCTTTTTATCTAGCATAAAATTTTTTAGAATGAACTAGCACCTCATGTCCCAGTTAAGTGGGACTATTCCTTGTAATATTGCCTGGTGCTTTCCTACCTCCCTGCTTTTTCTCTCTCCTCTTTTCTCTCCATTTCCAGTCATTTAAATCCTCCCAACTCTTTATGTTCCACACAAATGCTGACTTCCTGATTACTTCCAATAAGTCTGCTCTGATTTCTCAACTGAAAGCAAATTTGTTTTGGTGCAAATGTTTGTTGGATTAGTTAATAATGCTGTTTACTATATTTGACTCTCAGGCTCAATTTAGGCATGTAGTAAGAAATTCTTCCTTGTGCCTGAGCTCAGGTATGGTCATAGCACACTTTTATCTGACAAAAAGTGAATGGAAGTACATGTATTACTTCCATGTAGAAGATTTAAGGGTCAGTATATGCTGTGCCATATTCTCCTTTCCCTTTGCTAGGTGGCCCATGATATTCCAGATAATGGCTGCTCTGTTGATCTCAACTGCACAGTGAGAATGATGATGATGACGTGGAATTGAGCTCCTAGTCAATCTTTGATAAATGTGTAATATGAGCAAGAAATAAACCTTCATTGTTTAAGTCTTTGAGATTGTAAAGCTGTTTGTTATTGTGGCAAATCCTGGTTTATTCTGACTAATCATACCTGTACATGATGTTGATGTCTCTTTTAATTTAATTCACTTTAAAATGTGTATTGATATTTAGTCCAGTCTCCAGATGACTTTAATCCCAGCCGATATCTGGATATTTTGCAGCCCCAAAAGGGATTCCAAGGGAGAACTAAGAGGGAAAGCAGAGTTTTCAATCACCTGTTTTTCTCGGTGGTAATGAAAATTTCTATAAAGTTGTCATTTATATTTAAGGAATGCATGTAGGTTAGAAGTGAATAAGACAGACCTTCTTTGACTTCCCTCAGACAGGCTGATTTTCCTGAGGTTCTGGCTTGGTTGCCTTCTTTTCCTGCACATTCTTCTTGGAAAATCTCACACTTCCCTGTGATTTCAACTGAAAACTATTCGTCTTGCCCCCACCCCCAATCTGTATTTTTAGCCCTTGTAAAATCTGAAAAGCTGAGTCCTTCCTAATTTTCTGACCTCCAATACCGTTAACAAAAGAACATGGTTATTTTAAGCCACTAAGTTTTAGAGTACTTTGTAATACAGTGGTAGTAACCAGAATAGTGAATTACTTGCATTAGAGCTGGTCCTGTAACCTGGGGAATGGCAGTCTCTCATCCAAGGGCCTTATACTAACTCTGACTACAGAACTGCATACTTGCTGAGATCCTTATTCAGAACAGCCTGGAGGGTCTCTCAAATGTGAATGAATTTAACCAGTCTTTTGTGTTCTCAAAGTCATTCACTTTAGTGATGAGCAATTTTGGCTTTCCATTTCAGGCTATTTGCATGAAAAAAGGAGGGGTGTTGGCATAGGGAAGATTGCATAAATTTTTGTCTGACTTTCCCTTGATTCTGATGGCAAAAACCTTTAGGAAAGTTTCTATGAATTCATGTGCTTACTTCAGCTTACATGGAGCATGCCATTCCTGTGGATAGAAGAGTTGATTTGGCCAAGTATCAGTGACGGTGAACAGAGGGAAGTCAAGATGTCTAGGTAGGCTGAGGCCAAGATGTGAAGGATCTGGAATGCCAGACTAAAATATTTCAGCTTCATCCTGTGGGTGGTGGGAAAACATCAACATTTTTTAAACATAGGAAATAGCATTATAAAAAAGTAGATGTGGAAGCTGTGTGCCGGTAAGGTGGATTCTAACAAGATGGTGGCTAGGAGATTACTGTAGTAGTTGGCATATCAAGAGAAAGGTGAAGGGAATCTGCAGGAAGAACTCTCAGTGGGAGAGGCAGGAAGGTACAGATGTAAGGGATATCAAGAAGAAGGACTGAGAGAATTCATGGTCACTTTCACTAATAGATGGGGCAGGCATGGTGGTGAAGAGACCCAGCATTAAACCTCTTCAGAAGATAGAATTGTCCCTACAATTCAGTATCTGTGCAGGTGAGTCATATGTGCTAAGTGTTTTATACAGGAACTTTTTATTAATCCTCGCAATAATCTTGGAGGTAGGTATTCTTGATTTTGCTATTTTACAGAAGCAGTGGAGGTAAAGAAGATGATCTTCAAAGCTGTACCACTGATGAGCAGTGGAGCCAGGATTCGAACCCAGGTGATTCACCTTCAAAGTGGATGCTATTTATCACTACTTTTTATCTTCTCTATTTATTTCCAGAAATCCTAGTCTTTTTTCTATTAGTCTTATCATGCTTATAGGGCTTAATAAAACATTATTTGATGCCGAAACTCATTTTTCAATTGCTAGTAAATGACCATGCTTCCCTGACTGAGGAAATAAATCAATTATATTCTGGGTCTATGAAAGCATTTTCTGAAATAGGGTCAGTGTGGGTCAGCCAAGAACATATTAAGTGGTATAACAATATCATTACCAACTCTCACCACTCTGATTCTATATTGCTAGATATTTGCAACAATTATTGCTCTGAAAATCCATATGTAAAATTTGAGAGAGGAAAAAAAATGAGAGAGAGCATTTTTTAAAATGTGGCTTCCACAGAGTTCTTTATGTATAGAGCAAACTTACATTTCAAGGTGACCTATCCCAGCATTGTAAATATAATTCATGGAAGAGATGATCAAAACTACAGACAGAAATATCCTAAAAACTAGGCTGTTAACGACAATATAATGAAATACATTTTTATTGTTCTCTGATATTTGTGAGATGCTATCCAATAAACTAAAGCCCCTTAGTGATTAAAATGTGTGTTTTGTTGGAAGCAGAAACAGGTAAGGAGTGAATTTTGAAAATGATTATAACAGCTTTACATATGCATGACGCCTTTGCCGCAAGGACCTTCACATACTTCAAGAATGACTTAACAAACATGTATTAATCCTCACATTGTCCACAGAGAATATGTGCGAGGTAAGCAGTGTTTATCAATAAGTTTTGGTCTCTTGCAAAAAGAGAAATCCAACCTTGTCAGCTGAAGGTGTTGTGACAATCTCTATAAGGTCACTGACTATGGACACAGTTGTACAATCTGTACAGAGCTCTCTAATGGGGGCTGAGGTGATCTTCCTTCTTTTCTTATCTTCCCTTCCTCCCTCACTTCCTCCCTCCTTCCCTCTTTCTCTACCCTTCCCATACTTTCCTTCCCTCCCATCCCTTCCTTCCCCTGTCCTATGTCCTACCCCATCCCCTCCCTCCCTCCCTCCCTTCCTCCCTTCCTTCTTTCCTTCCCTCCCTCCCTTCCTCCCCTTTTCTCTCCTTTTCCTTCCTTCCTTCCATTGAAATGTTCTGAAACGACTCAAATTCTGACCAACCATTGGGAAAAAAATATCTAGTTTTACTTTTTCTCTTTTTTCTTCCTTTATACTTAATATGAAAACACAATTTTCTCATAGTAGTTCCTGATTTACATTTCTGCTCTATTGGTGGATTTCTCCCTCTGTGTTCAGCAACATCTCATTCCTAATGACTATTTATAGCCTCCCAGGGTTTCTGTGGCCCTAAGTATCACCATTGAATTTATCAGAGTTCTTGCCTATCCTGATTGCCTGGGTGCACCTGCTGTGGGATTTATAGCCTTGAAAATAAGTACCAAACACCTAGTGGCTTCTAAACTTTTTTTTTTTTTTAAATCAGTCTTTCAAGCAGGTTGCTTTCCACCCTTCCCCTCCTTAGGAGGCTCACAGTGGCTGTTTCTACATGATGTTGAATCATCCAGATGAAAAGTGAAAATTCTGTCAATCTCCCGTTCTCAGCTGTAGTTTAATGTAAGAGGCATTTGTGTGGCTGTTGTGATGAAAACAAGATTGGGAGAAGGAGAAGGTATGCTAGATCTCTGCCTCCCATGTCTTCATGCCTCTCTTCCTGAATTACCAGGATTTTTTATCCCACCATCACCACCTTGAGACCCAAAGAGGTACTGTCTGCTTTTGAGGCTGTACTCTGGGTTCTGATTTCTTCTGTTTCCAAATTTGCTCCTCTTTACCCTGCCCTGTGCCTGAGGTCCTTCACACCCTCTGCATTCCTCTGTATCAATGCTGAATACTTGTTACATAAATTTACTCCTTTACTATTCACAGGGAATAAGAATCATCTCAGCTAAAGACCATCTGCATCTGACAGTTTAAAGCAAAGGAAGCATGAAGAATGAGGGACTTCTGATGAAAGATGATGAATAAATCATCCAAGCTAGGATTATTTGCTCCATCTGTGATCTAAAGAAGTGAGGAGATTGCAGAAAGTGGAAGATACAGAAATCCTCTAGGTCAAGCCAGTGTGTGTGTCTAAGGTGGATACTAGATAGTTTCAGAAACACCAGTGAGGCCAACCCTGCTCTTTCACATAGGCCCAGGACCAATCACTCTAGGCACAGTCAGGTGGTTGGATAGAGTGGTTTGAGAAAAACTTACTTCCATGCATCATTTGTATTTCCTTTTAAATGAACCACAAGTCTGCATAGTCTTATTCCTAGGACCCAGGGGAAGGCTCTACCATTTTTTTCTGTGGAGCTGATACACACCCAGAATGAGACATTTTCTTATTGAGCTGTGTTGTTGAGGGTGCTTGATATAAAACTGCTTTACAGATGCATGATACTTTTGCCTCAAGGACCTTCATACACTTCACACACTTCTGCTTTTGGAAGGGCACCCTGAAGCAGCATGACTATTGAAATCTGAAGATTCCCTCCTCTGTAACTCAGACCTATTGGGGGCCTCCAGCTACATTCAAGTGGACGTGAATATAGCACACCTGGTTTATCTTAAGTAGTAAATCTTGCAATTTTTTCTATCCCTACTGTACTCCCAGTCCTAGAGCTACCATCAGGTTTTTCTGGGAAAATTCTTTCCGTGTCAGACGTATACTTTTGGCTTTAGATCACGGCCTTGGGCATGAGAAGTTCAGCCTGGTTCCTAGAACCTGGGAAGGAAAATGATGTGGCAGTGCCTCATGACTCAACAGAAGAAATGTTCCAACTCTGCAGCTATCAGCACACCACAATGGGATATGTTTGTGTCTAGTTTCTAGGGAAACTCTGTTCAGCTTACTGTCTACTCCTTCTCTGGCCCAGTATGGGCTCTGTAGTCTCTCTTAATGCTTGCTGTGAGTTTACTTTGCATCCTGGATTTTGTCTATTTCAGCTTCTCTATTATATTCATTGTAATCTATACCTGACTCTTGCTACCCAGGCTGACTCCTTCCATCCTCCAAACTTTTATCCTCCACTTCACTCTTCTTAGGCAGTCCTGCTCATTGCATGAGTTACAAATCCTGCATATAAATTTTCTCTTTTCCTATGCCTGGACTTGAAACACTTTGATGCTGGCATACTCTTTCCCCATATCCTGTAACCTCCACAATTTATGTTTCATTTGTTAGTAATCATCATTAACACAGCTGTGCACCTGTATATGAAAGCACATATCATTGTGTGTGGAGACTTGTAGTTTCTTCATGGGTATTGTTAAATATATTAGCATCAACACAGGCCTAAGCAACCAGTGAAGATCATTGTACCAGTGGAAAACATCTAGCAATAGGGCTTTGGGGTGCTTTCATTTGGGGGTATTTTAATATAAGTTTGGTGCTGTAAAGACATAGGTACAGTAAACAAGAGCCTATCCAAAGCTGCTACCTGGTTTGCTTTTGCCTTGTGGGCCAGATAATGACAGCTAAATGACACCAAGGAGAAAGAAATTCTGTGTTTTGAACTCATAAAGAGGAATTCACAGTGATTTCACTTCTTATTTTTGTTCCAATTACAGCAATATTTCTGAAGTGTTTGATCTCCTGTTGTCTTTTGAGGTTGCAAACCCTTCTACCCTGGGTCTTTGTCTCCCTTGTCTTTCATACTTTTCCTGAAAGATCCCAGACATAAGAATAAGCAGTCATTCCAAGTCTCTACTCATTTAAAGAGTTTCTAAGAGCTGACTTGGAGGGCTGTTGGCATTCCTTTGATCTTGTCACTATTTTCCTTGCATTTCCAGGCAGGAAAAAGGCTGGTGGGCATCTGACACCTGCATAGAGAACAATGTGTGGTCTTGAAGTTGGTCCCTCCAGGGAATGGGACCTGCAAGGGGACACATTCTTTCCATAGCCCCCACCCTATCTAAGCTCTATCCCTATTTTCTGCTGCTTTCTTTTCCCCTGAGGGCCACTGGGGGTGGGGTGAGGGGTATGGAACAGATGAGGAGTGTTGTTGGTATCTCCAATTGGTACATGGTGAGAGAAGGACTGTACTCACCAAACCATTGGCATGGCTCTCTGTCTATACTCAGATCAAACAAAACATATTGCCGGGAGAAGGGAAGTTTGGGGTGTTGTAAGAAAAAATCTAAAAATTTAGTTAGTTACTCCCAGTGAATACTGCACACAAACTTGGTCCTTTTGCCTGCAATGAGCTTCTTTGTTTTCCTTATTCTCCAGCTCTTGATTCAATTCTAATTTATCAGGAATGCTGCCCTTATCCAGGCCAAATCCCCTGATTTCAAGTTCCTATGGCACCATGTATTTCTCCTTGGTGGCACTAGCCACAGCAGCGATTTTGCAACCTGTTGAGTGTTTATTTGCTTAAGGCATCTTTTCCCCAGCACACTGTAAGCATCACGAGGCCAGGAGTGAGT